GGAGGAAAACTGCTTGTATGGTAGCTGACGACTTCAAGAGCAAATATTGTCCATTTGGTTCTTTTTTTAAATTTCTGTCTCTGTGTGTCTGTCTATGTTATTTAGTGGTCAGCCAGTGATTCAGTAGAGCTTGTTCTCAAACACCTGGCACCAGTAAGGCCTCTGTCCTCTGCTGTTGTATCTGTGTCTTGGTAGGGAAGCACACTCAAAGTTCGGGCCAATTTAAATTCTGCCCTGGGGCCGGCCCGGTGGCTTGGCGGTTAAGTGCACGTGCTCCGCCCCTGGCGGCCCGGGTTCGGATCCTGGGCGCGCACCGACGCACCGCTTCTCCGGCCATGCTGAGGCCGCGTCCCACATACAGCAACTAGAAGGATGTGCAACTATGACGTAGAACTATCTACGGGGGCTTTGGGGGAAAAAAAGGAGGAGGATGGGCAATAGATGTTAGCTCAAGGCCAGTCTTCCTCAGCAAAAAGAGGAGGATTAGCACGGATGTTAGCTCAGGGCTGATCTTCCTCACAAAAAAATAAATAAATAAATAAAATAAAAATAAATAAATAAATTCTGCCCTGGCTTTTACTTTCTGTCAGGCCCTTTTGCATCTCTCCTCTGCATGTGTGCAGCCTCACTTGGCCAGGAGTATGTGGCTAACTTGGGCCCTCTCATGTCTCCACTGCCATGCAGTCTCACAGCCAGGCACACGCTTGCCCCAACCATGACCACAACCTCAGGCTATTAGAGCTTTGGCCCTTCCTGCTCACCTGCCTTTGAGACCATCACTTCCACCAACAGCATCACTAGGTATGGGTGTTGCCCACGACTCCAAATCAGGTGATTTCCCCCTTCCACAGGGAAGCTGTTGGTTCTCACATCCTGCCTCTTCCTGGCAGAACCTCTGCACTGACTGAGCGTGGGAGAGGATGAGAGCAGTCCCAGATTCCCATTGTTCTTACCCAAAGTTTAACAGGTGTACAAGCGTAAATGCTTCCTAGGTTGTTAAGTGCCTTTGGTCAATTTCCAGAGTGCTGAAGTGGTTGTTTTTGTCAGTTTTGTCCAGTTTTATAGTTGCTTTTGTGGGAGAAGATCTCCTCACTCTTTCATAGCTGAAAGTCCTGTCCTGTACTCTTCTTGGTTTATATTCAACTTCACTTCCTCTGTCTACTTCTGAATTTGGAGGATCCGAAGACTCAGTCCCAGGACCTCTTTCCTTTTCCATCTACACTAGGCATTCTCTTCCAGCCCACAGCTTTAAGAATGATTGATATACTGTTGATTCCCAATTTGTATCTCCACCTCTGACCCCTCCCTTGAGCTCCAGACCTGAATTTCCAACTGATTATTTGATATCTCTACCCATATGTCTGATAGACCACTCACATGTTGTTTAACATAGCCAAAAGAAAAGTCTTAAATTCTTCCCCAAAGCTGTCTTCCTCAGATTCTCATCTCATCTGTTCATTTGCTCAAGTTCAAAACCTAGGAGTTATCCTTGACTCCTTCCTTCACCCTCACATCCACTCTAAGAAATTGGATGTCAGATCTACTTCCAGAACGTAATCCCAAGTCCATCCTCTTCTCTGTCTCCATTGCCAACCTGCCTAGTCCAGACTTCCATTGTCTGTTGTCTAGAAGACTGCACCAGCCTCCTCCCTATTTTCCCTCCTTCCATTCCTATCCCCATATAGTCTGCTGATGCAATGATCAGAGTAATCTTTTCAAAACATAGCCATATATTGTTGCCACTCATTGCACTTAGAATAAAATCTATAGTTCATATCATGACTTATGAAGCCTTATATTCGTTCAGCTTGATCTAGTAGGCCTCACACTATCTTTGCAACTTTATTTCCTACCATTTTTCCCTCCTTCACCATGCTCTAGCCACACTGACCTTCTCTCCGGTCCTTGAACATGCCAGACTCATGCCTGCCTGAGAGACTTGGCAGTGTCTCAGGCTGGAACACTGTTTCCCCCAGATCTTCTTGTAGCTGGTGCCTCCCAAAATGGTCTTTACTGACTATACTGCCCCATCATTCTCTACCACTTACTTGGTTTCTTTTCATAGCATTTCTCACTCTCTGTCACTATCTTGCTTTTTTATTTACTTTGTACTGTGTCTTATTTTGATATGGCCCCAGTGCTGGCACATAGAAGGCTCTGAATATGTTTGTGGACTGTGTGAGTGTCCTCTCTGAAGTCAGAGAGGTGCATTTCATTCATTAAGCAGGTATTCACTAAGCCCCTGCTGTGGGTCAGGTATCGTACTAAATACTGAGGACACAAAGTTATAAATGACGTGGTCCCTGCCCTGTTTATTCTTTGGGAGTTAGATTCTGAATATCCTTGAAAAGGAACCCCATCTCCTTTAATAAAACAAAATCCAGCATCTCCAGGCGAGGAAGAGATGTCTGGACTCTGACTCCTGGGTACCATCTTCCTCTCATGGGCTTTGCATTCTAAGGAACCTCTCATCCCCCTTTTAAAAAGCTCTATCCCAGGGCCGGCCCAGTGGCATAGTGGTTAAGTGCATGTGCTCCACTTTGGCAGCCTGGGGTTCGTGGGTTCAGATCCTGGGCACAGACCTACACACCACTTATAAAGCCATGCTGTGGCAGGCATCCCACATATAAAGTAGAGGAAGATGGGCACAGATGTTAGCCCAGAGCCAATCTTCCTGAGCAAAAAAAGAGGAGGATTGGCAACAGATGTTAGCTTAGGGCTAATCTTCCTCGCACAAAAAAAAAGCCCCATCCCAAGGGCTGGCCTGGTGGTGTAGTGGTTAAGTTCGTGCCCTCCACTTTGGCGGCCTGGGCTTCACAGGTTCAGATCCTGGGTACGGACCTACACACTGCTCATCAAGCCATGCTGCTGCAGTGTCTCACATACAAAATAGAGGAAGATGGGCACAGATGTTAGCTCAGGGCCAGTCTTCCTCAGCAAAAAGAGGAAGATTGGTAATGGATGTTAGCTCATGGCCAATCTTCCTCATCAAAAAAAAACGAACAAAAAAACAAAAGCTCTGTCCCAGATGTGTTCACAGACCCACTTCCCTTCGTTTCTCTGAGCACAGCTGAGGCAGGCAAAGTCTTTCACAAAAACTTACCAAGCACTGTGGGAGAAAAGTGGGAAAATAAGAGACCCTAAGGGAACTTTTACAGCCAGACAACAGCCCTTCTGGCCAAAAAATCTGGCTTAGATAAGCTTTAGATCTTGTGGAGTAGGGAGAGGCACTTTAAAATTCCCCACCAAGAACCTCCCTCCAAGGCATCTTGACCACTTTTTGGTCCAGAGTAGAAGATAAAAAACGTGGGCTTTCTGTTCCCTCAGAGTTTTCTGGACTCTGCCCCTGCCTCAGATTATCAAAGTCATGATAGAACTCATGCCTTGGGTAAGATTTTACTTCCTCCCCAAAAGGTAAGGCTTTGTTCTCCAGGGCCAACAATTAAGAGCAGGTTAATACTGTGGTTTCCTGCAGTGTTAGTTTAGATGTTTCAAAGTAAGATCAAGAGCAGTGAGAAAAATTTTAACAGTTATCAAGTTCTAGATTAAGAAATATCATCATAGGTACAATATAGAAAATAATTAATTTGCTCAGAACCACAGGACCCAGTAAAGAATTTGATATATAACATTGAGATTGAGCATGTACTAGGCCAGGCACTGTGCTAAGTGCTTTATATGGAAAACCACAAGGAGAATTCATTCTATGAGATACGTGTTACCAGTACCCCCATTTTATACAGAGGAAAACTGCAGCGTGGAGGTTAAGTAATGTCTATAAAATCACACAGCTAGTACGTAACTGCAGGAGGATTTGAATCCGAGTTGGCATGCGTGGAGAGCCCAAGTTCCTAACTATGATTTGTACCACAAATATTTAACTGGTATTGGATACTAATATTTTATGTTTACTGTATAAGAATAGGATTAATTTACCTTTCCTTGTGAGAATAAAAGGTCATCCGGCAGCATCTTTTAACTGATACTTATCCTCCAAAATTTCTTTTCAAATCTTCTGATTCATTCAAAAGAAAACCAATTTTTAATGTTTCCTTAATAAACAGAAACTCACAGTCTTTCTATAAAAAAAAGAATGTTTTAGTCTTTTCATAACTAACCTCAATATGATTTTCTAACCTGTTCTGTGAGTTTGGTTATAGCAATGTAAATTTAAATAATTAGAAAATGCTATTGATCTTTTAGTGGAGTAAATTTGAAAGTTGCTTTATTTTTAATTCCACAGAAAATGTTCCATAAATAATAAAAAGATAACAGAATGTATTATTACAATTTAAAAAAAAGAACAGTGAGAAAACTATTCCCTTTTCAAGTTTTTCCCTATAGTTACATATTTGGTGATGGATGTTAACTAGACTTATTGTAGTCATCATTTCATAGTATATACAAGTATCGAATCATTATGTTGTACACTTGAAACAAATATAATGTTATGTCAGTTATATGTTAATTAAAAAAAATTTTTTTTAACTTTACTTGGTAAAGAAAATGGGCTTACATAAAATTATAAAGTAAGTAATAGTATGGGTGGTGTGGGAACATAGCATGAGTCATGAAAGCAGTAGGGAAGGAGTGACTGAAGTTTGCCGAGATATAGTAGTATAATAGTATGGCATTCCATTACTCAGTGCTTGCATTTGAGGCAAGGTTCAAAGACGGTGCTCTTGAAGCAGGTTTGTTTTTTTTTTGGTGGGGAAAGATTTGCCCTGAGCTAACATCTGTTGCCAATCTCTTCTTTTTTTTTTTTTGCCTCCCGAAAGCCCCAGTACATGGTTGTATATCCTAGTTATAAGTCATTCTAGTTCTTCTATGTGAGCTGCCACCACAGCACGGCAACTGACAGATGAGTGGTGTGGTTCCATGACCAGGAAGTGAACCTGGGCCACCGAAGGAGTGAGCACCGATCTTTAACTGCTAGGCCATCAAGGCTGGCTCTTGAGGCAGGTTTTAACTCATAGATTTTTTTATTTTCCTCTCTGTAGTGGAGCACATGATCCAGAAGAACCAGTGTCTCTTCACCAATACCCAGTGTAAGGTTTGCTGCGCCTTGCTCATTTCTGAGTCCCAGAAGCTGGCACACTACCAGGTATGCTGTTGTACCTTTAGAACTGCTTTACTTTCCAGACTCAGTGCCAAGCCCTCACTCCTCCCTGACTTGCACAGTGAGGTGTAATTCCTTCTTAGCTGCCAGATGTTGCCTCCGTGCATGTTGACTGTGACTTGAAGATTGACTTAATTTTTCTGAGTCTCATCTCTCCCATCCAAATCAGGATCATTATATTTATATCTTCCCTTGCAGCTTGGTACAGTAAGAAGTATGTACTTTGGCTTTAAATAAACCTGAATCCAAATCACAACTCTGCTTCTCATCTTGGGCAAGAAACCTCACCATCTCAGCCTCAGTTGCCTCATGTAAAAGATAGAAATGATAATAATTTTTTCATAGATTCTTGTGAAGATTAGGTTTGACAGCATATAAAGTGCCTTGAACAGAGCAGGAACTCAGTAAACTAGGTTTCTTCGCCTACCCTCTCCTCCTCAAAAGTTTTTAGGAGGATGAATCAGATGAAAATCTAGTAAGTGTTTTTGAGTGCCTTAGATATGAAATGGCATTTGGCTATCTTTGATCTTTTTCCTGGGTTCTTGCAGAGCAAAAAACATGCCAACAAAGTGAAGAGATACCTAGCAATCCATGGAATGGAGACATTAAAGGGGGAAACGAAGAAGCTAGACTCAGATCAGGTAATCCAGCTGCCATGTTGAGACCGCTCGCTTCCTGATGAAGCCAGCAGGCAGGTTGGTGTGGTGGAAAGAGAGAGTGGGCTTTGAGTCAGACTGACTTGGCTTCAAATCCCAGCCCTGTCATGTGACTTGGGCAAGTCTTATTACTTCTCTGAGCCTTGATTTCTTCCTCTATAAAAACGAGGATGCTAATATCAACTACCTTTGGGCTGGCCCCATGGCTTAGCGGTTAAGCGTGCGCGCTCCGCTACTGGCGGCCCAGGTTCAGATCCCGGGCGCGCACCAACGCACTGCTTCTCTGGCCGTGCTGAGGCCGCGTCCCATATACAGCAACTAGGAGGATGTGCAACTATGACATACAACTATCTACTGGGGCTTTGGGGGAAAAAAGGAGGAGGATTGGCAATAGATGTTAGCTCAGAGCCAGTCTTCCTCAGCAAAAGGAGGAGGATTAGCATGGATGTTAGCTCAGGGCTAATCTTCCTCACAAAAAAAAAAAAAAAATCAACTACCTTTTAGGATTTTTCCAAACGAAAATGAGGGAATGTTTATAAACAGCACCCAACACAGAGCCTGGCACATAGGAGGGGCTCAGTAAATGGAGCTATTGTTATGCATTACCACTCATGGTTTGTTGGAGTAGACAAGAAGCTGCCCGGTCACTGCTCCAGAAGAGAAAGTGGAAGGAAGCCAGGCTGCTTGCTTTCTTGAGATCCAGGGAAAAGAGCTGAGTTCAGCACTGGAATGTTTTGAATAAACCAGTGGAAGGAACACCTTTCCAGATGCCTGCTCTGATTGAGATGGAAACACGTTTGCTTTTTGGCTTAGAAATACTGTGAGAATTATGCTGAAACAACCTCAATCCATCAGGGATACCATTATTTTTGTTCCATGAGAGGCTGTGCAAATGTCATAGGATGAGAAGTCAGCAGACTAAGCTCTGCAACTTACTGGTTGGGTGACTTTGGGCAAATCACTTAACCTCTCTGTACTTCACTCATACAATGGAGATAATAATTCTACCTCTTAAGGGTATTATAAGGCAAAATTCCAGGGGCCGGCTCGGTGGCGCAAGCGGTTAAAGTTCGGATCCCAGGCGCGCACTGACGCACTGCTTGGCAAGCCATGCTGTGGCGGCATCCCATATAAAGTAGAGGAAGGTGGGCACAGATGTTAGCCCAGGGCCAGTCTTCCTCAGCAAAAAAAGAGGAGGATTGGCAGATGTTAGCACAGGGCTGATCTTCCTCACACAAAAAAAATAAGTAAAATTCCAGTTCCTAGTGGATACTCAATAAGTTTACAAACTATGCCTCCTATTATAGTGACCACAAGTTTGGAAGGGCCTTACTCATCCTTTCTCCAGATTCACTGGACTCATCCCCTGGTTGCCCTTCTTATGATTTAGAATTCAGAAAGAAAAGATCGACTCTGTGACCCTAGGCAAGTCACTTTACCTCTTTGTGTCTTGATTCCTTTAACTCTCAGGTGGGCAAGTAGTTCAGATAAGATCGCAGGCTCCCCCCCGCAACCCCAACAACAAAGAATTATCCAGCCCAAAATGCTGATAGTGTCTTAGAGTGAATATTTTATTCAGAGATCAAACCTCAGAGAGGCTGGAAGGCCTTAATGTAGGCTTGAAATACATTGTTTTCTGGCCTAATCATAATCAACAAATAAAACCCAGTGATCTTGTTCAACAAACCCTGACTCCTGTATGCCAGACTCCAGCAGGGTGCTAAGGATAGGAAACACAGATGAGTCAAATGGTCCATGCCCAAATATTGCACTTTAGTTCACAGAAAAGCCTCCTAAGCTATGACACTGTCAGTTTAGGGTGACAAGTGGTATGATAAGAGGTCTATTTCATGCACTCTGGGAGTACAAAGGAGGAACAAGATTAATTGTTCCTGGAATACTCACACAAAGAGGCTTGATAATTGTTTACTGAATGATTTTCTTGAGTAAAAGTCTCCCAGAAGAGGTGATATTTAATCTGGTCCTCGAAGGCTAAACAGACATATGTCAGGCAGGAAAGAAAGACCATTTCTAGGCAGCAGAAATGGCCTAAGCAAAGCAAGAAGCAACAGAATAAAGTGGGGAATGGTGAGTAGAGCCTGGGGTGAAGTAGCTGGAGAAGAATCCAGAAAGGTAGGTTGGGGGTAGTGTATGAAGGGGGCCTTGAATGCCCATTTTCCTGTGGGCAATGGGGAACCATTGAAGATTTTCTGGCTGGGCAGTGGCGTGATCAGACCTGTGTTCTTTCTCCTAACCAGAAGATCAGCAGAAGCAAAGACAAGAACCAGTGCTGCCCCATCTGTAACATGACCTTTTCCTCCCCTGTCGTGGCCCAGTCGCACTACCTGGGGAAGACCCACGCAAAGAACTTAAAGCTGAAGCAGCAATCCACTAAGGTGGAAGGTACTGGTTTTCCTGAGTAGTGCTATATCGGGACCCCTCCCGTCCTCAAGGCGCCAATGACAGGTGCTCCCAGAAATGCTCACTGGGGCCACAGACTTGGAGAGATTGAACTGCTTTTAAGAGCCTTTAAAAATAATAAAGTAGGGCTGGCCCTGTGGCTTGGTGGTTAAGTGCGCGCGCTGCGATGCTGGCGGCCCGGGTTCGGATCCCGGGTGCGCATCGAGGCACCACTTCTCTGTCCATCCTGAGGCCGAGTCCCACATACAGCAACTAGAAGGGTGTGCAGCTATGACATACAACTATCTACTGGGGCTTTGGGGGGAAAAAATAAAATAAATAAAATCTTTAAAAAAAGAAAATAATAATAATAATAATAAAGTAGACCCAGCTTCATTGAAATGCACCCTCAAAGTTGTGCTCACCTAACCTCCCTTTCTTTGGTTACATCAGTTTTTCTCTGTAGAAGCTTCTTAGCTCTGAGCTTTTGTCCTGACTAATAATTATTTATAACTCAGGAGTGCCAAAGTCCTCCAGGCCCTGCACACCATGAGAGCATTCTATCTCCTACCTCTCCAACTTATTTTTCCCTCCCAGCATCTACTTTCCCTTTTACCATGTGTTCCTAGTTGAAAGCTAAATCCTTGTCTTTTTGTGTGTGCTCAGGTTATGCCCTGCGCACTTTAATCCTCAAAGCTGCCTGTTCTCCTCAAGACAGGGACTTGCCTTTCAAAGCTGAATACTTCATGGCTGCCACTACTGCCCAGCAAGCTGTGTTTGCAACTGCCATGAATTCATTCCCAGTGCAGTGACTTCTAAAATAGCCCCCTTTATCTTGTCACCACTGGGGCTCAGCCCTCGCTTTCACCTCGTTAACTCCTGACTTTCTGGGATGTTTAACCTCTGCTAACAGCAGTTAGTCAAGAATGAAGGTTCTTTGATCTTTTTTTCATTTTTTCTTAGTAATTTTTGCTTCTCTATTTTGGACCAAGAAGTACACTACACTATCTATAATACTTATTATCTTTTTTTTAATTTTACTTTATTATAAAAACAAGACAGGGCCCAGCCTGATGGGGCAAGTGGTTAAGTGCACGCACTCTGCTTTGGCGGCCCGGGGTTCACGGGTGCAGATCCCGGGCACGCACCGACGCACCGCGTGTCATGCCATGCTGTGGCGGCGTCCCATATGAAGTAGAGGAAGATGCACACGGATGTTAGCTCAGGGACAACCTTCCTCGGCAAAAAAAAAGGAGGATCTGCATCAGATGTTAGCTCAGGACTGATCTCCCTCACAAAAACAAAATAAAAATGACAACAGTGTTTTGGAAGGCTTTGAAGATAGAGTAAAAAATCACTCATAATTATACCCTCTTATCACACCCAATTCTAGTTATTCATGCTGTGAAACAACAGAATATGGACTTTGAAGTCACAGATGCCCAGGTTTAAATCCTGGCACTGCTATTTACCATCTACATGACTTCTTCATGCCTGAGTTTCCTCACCTATAAAATGTTGATAATACTATATACGTCATAGGTTATGAGGATGGAATAATGTATATAAGGAACGTAGAACATAATAGATGCTCAGTAAATAACAGCTGCTATTATTACTATTATCAGTATCATCAAGACAGCCAGTGAGTGGATTCCCTCATAAAATGCAATAGTTGGTCAGGCATCTACCACCTGGAGCGTGTCACTGGCCTTGCTTATGATTTGTTCATCATTAAGTTATACTAGTACTAATTGCTTTTGTTTAAAGTCATTGTACCAAAAAGATTAAACATTAGGCCAAGGGAAACTAGCTTAAGAACAGAACTTTATAAGGTCAGTTATCTTTAGTTTTATATGGACTTATCTTCCCATGAATGGGAAAGTCCCCTGGAATATGCCTGGTCCCAAAGATTCCATATTCAAGAGGTTATTATCCGTATTCACTTTTGGCCTTTGCCCCATGCAGATATGTTTTTATATACTTGTAATCACAGTTTATGTACCATTTGTATCCTGCTTTTTACTTTTCATTTAATTTTGTAGTTTAAGCACATTTCCATGTTATTACATGAGTTTATAACTATATTTCTGAAAGTAAACATTTTTATAATGTAAAAATAATACAAACATGTTAAATAAAATATAGATAAGTTGAAAGAAAAAGTAGCCATAATTTTACCAGTTAGAGATAACCACTGTTAATATTTTGGAGTACTGTTTCTCCTATAATCTTTTGTTATGTGTATGTGTGTATATTTATGTGTATATTTGTTTTATGTATATCTAGATTAAATCCATGTATATGTGCATATAAACATAGAATATTTTAAATAACCTTATTATTTTTATAAAAACAGTGCATACTCATTATGAATCATTCTAGTTTAAACAATACAAAAGGTACCAAGAGGAAAGTAAAATATTACTCAAATCCTACCACCACGAGAAAAACACTTAATATGTTAGTGACGTCTCAAAATACCAGTACACACATATAGATTACACATATATTTTTTAACAATGATAGGATCATATTGTGTGTGTAATTTTCTTTCATACTCTTTTCATTTAATATAACATTTGTATTTCCCCATGTTATTAAATACTTTTTCATAAACATTTTTAATGACTACATAATATCCCGTCATACCACACTTAACCATTATTCTAATGTTGAACATTTAAGTTTTTCCCCCTCCTCTTTTTTGGTATTTATAAATAACAGTACAGCAGACATCCCTGTAAAATACTCTCTGTATTTCAAGCTGTCTGAGAGAAGACTCCCATAGCTCTCATTTTTGTTAGATGTCCACTAAGCGGTTTCTCTAACTTTACTTAACCATTCACCTCTGATGCTTCTCTTCGATATCTTTTACAGAATGACCTTTATGTCCTAACAACCATTATTATCTCTTTTCTGATGTCAGAAATCTACAGTCATTTTAGAAAAGTTGGAAAATACTGAAAAACACCCTTTTACTCTATGCTTTTGGTCTTTTCTCCATGCATCACCAGTATGATGTTTGTTCTTTTACAAAATTGAGGACATAAGAGACAGATTGCTGTATAAACTGCTTTTTTTTCACTCAACACCACATACTGAATATTTTCTCATATTATTAAATGTTTTACAACATGTACATTACTTTTCAAGTGCCTTGCTGAAACAATGATCAGGAAAAATCAATGTGAGGTTCCCTATACTGGAAAATTATTGTGGAAAAAGCCAGCAAGTTTCTTCTGGCTTGCTAAAAATCCTCAAAACTTCCCCCATTAAAGTGGTGCAGAGATGAAAGCATCTGAGCCGTGTGTCTGTGAGTGCTGCTGAGCCCACTCCTCCTCCACCATTTTGGGGGGTTCTAAGCCACATTCTTAGAGTAGTAGTTACTAGGTTGACACCATGTCAGCCACGTGGACTCATTAGGGAGTCGTGGCATCCACTTTATAAGGCAGCAGCAAGTCCTGCGGTCAGCATCAGGACATTTGCTGACGCACAGGAGGCTTACACATATGCCCATACCAGGCTCTGATAACTGAATTCATTGACCAGAGCCAGGAATGTTTTCTGAAGATGAAAGCATAAGCTATAGCCTTCAAGTTTCCCTGCCACCCTCTGGCAGCTTGGCATAGCAAAGAGGGTATGGTCTTTAGAGTCACACAGACCTGGGTTCACTCATTAGCTGGGTGATCTTGGGCCATCTGAGCCTCAGTTTTTCTCTATAATGTGGCAAAATGATACCTACCTCATGGGGTAGTTCTGAGGACCAAAGGAGAAAATATATGTACAGGTTACATAATAAATGTCAATGTCATCATCTTGTCTCCCCAGCTCAGCCTAGAAGGCAGTGTAGTCTAAAAGTCCTCCCTAGTACGGTTGCCTTTTCTAAATGACCCTCCGGGCCCTCAGGCCCTTAATTTCTACATCTGTGCATTGGCTCCCAGCTCTATTTTGGGTACTTTGAGGATGGGAACAAAACACCCAAACCTCTTGTTCCACCTGCTGTGAAGTTCTGGGGAATTCTGAGGGATAAAAAGACTGTAAGCACGTACATCTCTAGACTGTTGTAATTTGGCAACTTGACAGCAGAAGTGCAGAGCCTCCTCAGAATGTGAGAAATCAGGATTCGTGTGTCTAAAGTAGTTACAGCTGCTGAACAAAGTAGCTGGTCTTTGGGCTCCCCCAAATCTTCCCAGTTTTCCCAGTTAGGGAAGGCTTTCATTCTGATTCACACAGGCAGTGCCACATCTGCAAGTGTGATTAGTGACCCAGCCTTTCTTTACATTCAGCATACTCGCAAGCCTGGCACCTTCTGGGTTTTTTTATTGTTTCTGTTTGAACTCTCTCGCCGCAGCTCTGTCGAAACGCCTCACAAACCCTTTCCTTGTGGCCTCCACCTTAGCCTTGCACCAGAATAGAGAGATGATAGACCCAGACAAGTTCTGCAGCCTCTGCCACGCAACTTTCAACGACCCTGTCATGGCTCAGCAACATTATGTGGGCAAGAAACACAGGAAACAGGAGACCAAGCTCAAACTCATGGCACACTATGGGCGGCTGGCAGACCCTGCTGTCACTGATTCATCAGGTAAGGAGGCCCAGCTCACACCCAGAGCTGGATCAGGGCTTGACCACTGGGGCTCCCCAGACCACCAAGGCTATGCTTTTCTGTCTTAGGTCTTCTAAAGCAGGCATTGCAAACTCAAATCCCTGCGGAAGCCAGGCAGGAAATTTAAATAAGTGAAAGAGCCAGGAGGAAATATGGTCAGCCTAAGAGTGCATGCCTCTCCTAGCCAGCTCTAGCCAGTTGTTACCATCTTTCAGTTTTTCAAAAGAATCTAGAAGCCAGAACTGAGTGAGAATTCTTCTGATTTTTAAATGTGCAACTAAATTAAAAAAATTTTAAACCCTGTGTGAGTCAAACCAGTCTCCAAGCCAGATTTGGATCAAGGGCCACCAGTTTGCAACCTCTAATTTAAACTCCCTGTCATCCACATTTCTTGTGTGAAGGCCTTGGCAGCCTCTATCAGATTTTAGAGTGTCCTCAGAGCCCCTCCTCTCCCAGCAGCTGAGGCCTGCCTGTATCCCTGGATAGTGTGATGAAGGAGACCACTCTGACTCAATATTAGCTACCTCCCTGACCTCAAGATGCCAGTCAGTGTCACATGAGTGAGCATTCACCAAAAGTGAGGAGCCCTTCCCATCACAGTAACTACTCAGGGCCTATGATAAGGATGGGGGAGGGGGCGATTATTATTTTCTCTTTCATTCAGTCAGTAAATATTTATTGAGCACCTACTGTGTTCCCTCATTGGGGTAAGTAGTGACCAAGACTGACAGTTCCTCTCATGGAACGTACATGAGCATTTGTATTGGTCCTCAGGGCTTCCTGGCCAAGCCTTGGAGATGCAGCACCAGACAGTCACACTTGAGGCCCTCATGGCATCCAGGTGTGAACAACTTGACCCCAGGGAAGGTGCTGTTCAGAGTCATCTGTACTCTTCCCACGGTCCCAGAAAGGTGAACACCCAGATGCCATACATGTTCCAGACCACAAAAGGGCAAGGGGAGAGATCATGCCTCTCTAACAATCCCCCAAACCCCAGAGCAGCCATACAATGCAGGCCGTGTTTGGACAATACTGACACAGATAAGAAGGGTTCCAAGAAGTGGCTGTGAAGCACGGGGGGATCCCTTTAGCAGGGTGCCAAGGATTGCTCCTCCAATGCCATGGAAGGACCCTGCTTTACAACCTTCTTCAAAATCAGGAAGAGGTGGCTGATGTTTACTTAGTATTCCACATATAGGCAGTGCCTTCTCTTTTAATGGGATTAGTCCCATATGCTGAGGAATCTGGAAACTTCAGAACCAAACTCCTCAGAACCCCACTTCAGGGTCTGCCCTGGTAGCGCAAGCAGTTGGGTGAGCGCACTCCGCTGCAGCGGCCCAGGGTTTGCCGGTTCGGATCCTGGGCACGTACCGACGCACCGCTTGTCAAGCCATGCTGTGGCAGCATCCCATGTAAAGTGGAGGAAGATGGGCATGGATGTTAGCCCAGGGCCAGTCTTCCTCAGCGAAAAAGAGGAGGATTGGCATTGAATGTTAGCTCAGGGCTGGTCTTCCTCACAAAAAAAAAAAAGAACCCCACTTCACAACATGCTCCTGTTTTGGCCTGCGACTGATAGGAACAGCATAGCATCCAGCTGGCACGACCCAGGGTTCTCTTGCAGCTGACCCTCCTTTACTCAGCCCTGCCGTGGTCATCCCCTCATTATCTCTTGTCCACTGGCAGAACTCAGGCACTGCAATGTTTTATGCTGCTTATCTTAACTTGTATCCATTCTGTTCTTTTATTTCAAGCCAAAGCCTCCTTCCTGTATCCACCCTCTTCTGTTTGTCTAAGGCTAAATTACCATAATCCTAGAACTGTAGCCTTGATCCTTTTTTCTTGCTTAAGGCATCTGACTGCTTTACAAATCAGCCAAAATCTTTCATGAAAACCTAGGCAGGGGGGCAAGGGTAGCACATCCCCCTTTGATATTAATATATACAGTATAATTTAATCCCCACAGTATTCCTATAAATAGGTATGATTTTACCATTTCACAAATAAAGAAGTTGAGACTTAGAGTGACTTGCTCAAGGTCATACAGCTGATATGACTTCTTTTTTTTTTTTTTTTGTGAGGAAGACCAGCTCTGAGCTAACATCCAATGCCAATCCTCCTCTTTTTTGCTGAGGAAGACCGGCCCTGGGCTAACATCTGTGCCCACCTTCCTCTACTTTATATGGGACGCTGCCACAGCATGGCTTAACAAGTGGTGCGTCGGTGTGCGCCTGGGATCCGAACTGGCGAACCCTGGGCTGCCGCAGTGGAACACACACACTTAACTGCTTGCGCGACTGGGCCAGCCTCATGATATGACTTCTGTGTTGATAAATGACAACATCAGTATGAGTCTCTAGCTCTGTCTTGCTCTAAAGCTTCAATCCTCTTGCCTCCAGCTCTGAGTGTACTTGGCAGGAGGCTTTCCGAGTACACCTTGACCTCCTTCTGACTCACAGAGGTGGGGTGTTGATGTAAGATATGCAGGCAGTGACTTCAACTGACAGGGATTCTGCCTTAGCAAAGGATTTAGGTTTGTTAGCAGCTTGACTTTTTCCTTCTGGCTTCAGTCAAAGCTTGTTTGTTTGTTCACTCATTTGTTCATTCATTCAATCAGTCAGTCATCCTACACTTACTGATGACTGCTATAGTCCAGGCCTTAGGCTAGATGTTCTCACATGTAATTACCTGATTTAATTCTGACAACAACTCTGTTGTGCAGGATTGATTTTCCTCATTTTAGAAATGAGGACATGAAGGGGCCGGCCCGGTGGCGCAAGCAGTTAAGTGCGCGCGCTCCGCTGCGGCGGCCCGGGGTTCGCTGGTTCGGATCCCGGGCGCGCACCAACGCACTGCTTGGCAAGCCATGCTGTGCCGGCGTCCCATATAAAGTGGAGGAAGATGGGCACAGATGTTAGCCCAGGGCCATCTTCCTCAGCAAAAAAAGAGGAGGATTGGCGGATGTTAGCTCAGGGCTGATCTCCTCACAAAAAAAAAAAAAAAGAAATGAGGACATGAAGATCAGAAAGGTGAAGTGATTTGTACTGGGTCCCACACTAGGCAGCGGCAGAACTAGCATTGAAACCCAGGTCAGTTTGTGTGTTGGGTCCAGAGAATAGTTTCCATGGGGCTCCTGGCGAGTATGAGTCAATGTGAGATGACCCAGAGTGTCCAGATGTCTCCCACCAGGGATAGATGCAGCATCTACCAAGCAGATCAAACAAGACTTGGAGTTTGCTTTATCCTCCAGGCTCACATTTCTCACCTTTACCCAAAAATGCCAAAAGTAAAACCTGCATATCATTCAGGCAGCCAAATCCTTCCAGCTGCCCAACACTCAGCATCCCCTCTGGGTTACTGGACTCTTCCTCTGCTTCACCCAGTCACTTTTTCTCCCTACTTAGGGCTTTGCCACCTACACAGAACAGGTCTGCTTTCTCTGCCCCATGCTGATCCCCCAGTTTCTTCAACCCCTATACATAAGACAGGTTTTCAGGTCTTATTAAATTCATATGTAGTCAAGAAATATTTGTTGAGCTCTTTCCTAATATGTGCCAGGCATTGGATATATGGTAGTAAACAAGAGAGGTATTGTCCATGTTCTCATGGAGCTTCAAGTCTAGCAGAGAGGACAGGTATTGAGCAAATAACTACAAGTTACAAGCTTTAGGAAAGGAAACAAATGAGATACTAGGGAGATAACCTAAGATGGGGGAGCAGGGATCAAGGAAGGCCTCCCAGAGGGCAAGGGGACAGTGTGGGGCAAAATGATGCTGGGGAGATGAGCAAGCATCTAGTCATGGCGTTGTGTGTCATGTTAAGGATTTAGGCCTTTATCCTAAGAGCATTGGGAAGCCACTGACAGTTGAAGCATTATTATATCATTCTGGTTACAAAGTAGAGAATACTTTGTAATAGGCAGGAAGGGTAGTGGAGACCAGCAATGAGGTTGTTGTAATAATTCATACTGGAGAAGATAGAAGCTTGGACTTAAGGTAGCAGTGGAGGAAGTAGACAGAAATAGATGGATTCAAGAGGTATGTAGGAAGTAGAATCAGGACTTGGCCATCAAATGTGGGAGATGAAGGAAAAGAAACAGTCAAGGATGGTGCCCAGATTTAGGTGGATAACCAGCTTATCTGGAGTTTAAGATGCCCATGAGATATCTTTTTTGTGTGTGTGTGAGGAAGATCAGCCCTGAGCTAACATCCATGCTAATCCTCCTCTTTTTGCTGAGGAAGACTGGCTCTGAGCTAACATCTATTGCCAATTCTCCTCCTTTTTTTCTTCCCCAAAGCCCCAGTAGATAGTTGTATGTCATAGTTGCACATCCTTCTAGTTGCTGTATGTGGGATGCGGCCTCAGCATGGCTGGAGAAGCGGTGCGTCGGTGTGCGCCTGGGATCCGAACTGGGGCCGCCAGTAGCGGAGCGTGCGCACTTAACCGCTAAGCCACCGGGCTGGCCCGCCCATGAGATATCTAAGAGATGTTACAACGAGGCAGTTGGATATATAGATCTAGACCTCCAAGGAGAGGTCTGGAGTAGAGATGTTGCCATTTTGATAGGTCAGAAACTGTTTAATATTGGTAGTTTCATGTTTTAACCTAATAGGTAGTAATTGAAGTAAGGAGAGTAAATGAGATCCCTTAGAGAGTTTAGAGAGAGAGGAGCTGAGGGTCAAAGATTGAGCCCTCTGGAAACTCTTTCACATGCTACAACATGGATGAATCTTGAAGACATTATGCTAAATGAAGTCAGCCAGTGACAAAAGACAAATGCTCTATGATTTCGTTGTATGAGATATCTAGAGTAATCAAACTTATAGAAACAGAATGTGGAATGGTGGTTGCCAGGGGTTAGGGCGAGGCGGGAATGAGGGGTTGTTTAATGGGTGTAGATTTTCAGTTTTGCAAGATGAAAAAGTTCTGGAGATTGGTTGCACTACAATGTGAATATACTTAACATGAAGAAAACACAAATT